TCTTATTTATCTTCTTTCCCACATTTTATCTACATCTATCTAAAGAAAGTTTGAATTAAAAAAATTAAGAATTATTTAAGTATTCTAACAAAAGTATATAATAACTTTAAGATATTTATTGAATAGACAAAAATTAATTATAATTGATTTAATAGTATTCATATTATTAATTTTATTAATAGTTATATATTTTTACAAAATTATGTACAAACAATATAAATTATGATTTTTTGGATTATCCAATCTAAATGTTATTCAAATAATAAAAATCTAACATTAAAAATGAAATATTATTTAAGTATTTCAATAACTAAATGTCTTAAATAACAAAATATTCAAATTAATATTTTAAATCAATTAATATTATATTTTAAATAATTACTGGATAACTTTCAATTATGATAAAAAGGTTAAGATTTTAAATATTTAGTTAAATAACTATATATTTTAAATAATGAACAAGCGGGGACCCGTGCGATGCACGGGATTTGTTAAGCGAAAGCTAAATAATAGAAAAGGTCATTTACTAAAACACCCCTTATAGTTTCATGGATTTACTAAAATTTATCCTGTAGTTTGTATTTTACTAAAACACCACTTATAATTTACTATGGATTTAATCAATCTTCCATTAGATGATAGTGGAAAATGACAATGTCGACCCTAATGTTCATTTAAATAAATTTTATCAAAAGAAAATAAAAACGAAAATACCATTTTTTCCCCTAATAAGACACAGGCAAACCACTCTATTGACTATATTTGGTAAATTTTGTTTTTCGGTACAAAAAAAGTGGTAAGGGTATTTTGGAATAAAAAACCATGGCCCAAATGACAAAACAAACACTCCTTAATGAAATGTTGATTAAGTGAATAAGTTGTAAAATATATGAGATATTTTATTAAAATGAAAACTATAATGTAGGTTTAAATAAATATGTAAAACTCTAAGGTGTGTTCTACTAAATGACCCTAATAGAAACACATAAGGGTATGGGTGTCAATGGACCGGTTTTGGGCTGGACTCCGTCCAAATCAAAATCCATTTGGATGGGTTGGATGGACCAACAAGACATATTGAATTTGGACAGACTGGACGAACTAATATGACATATTGGATTGGACTTGGTCCGTCCATAATGAATTTTTATTGGATTGAGCCAATATCTGGTCCATTAATAGAAAATAAGAACATATGTATCAATGGACCATGTTTGAGTTGAAATCAATCTAAATGAACAGGAATTTTAACAGATTGGACAGTCTTTGGATTGGTCCAAAATGGTCTAAAATACTCATTGGACTAGATTGGACCAGGTCCATTTGTAATGGACTCACATTGGATTGGACCAAATCTAGTCCAATTGACAACCCTACATAAGAGTATACAACTATTTTATATTTCAAATTTATAAATAATTAATAAATATTCATATTTTATATACCACTTTTAATAAAATTTTTTATAATACAAAAATAACAATTACAATTTTCACTTAGGTTTATTCATTAAATTGATGAAATTGACCAACCCGATCAACTTGACATGACCATATTGGATCAATTTTGCTTTGGCCATTTGTAAATCAACCAAAATCGGATGACTTGACCATTGATATATATTAATATTTTATATTTTAAACATAATTTTTAATATGAAAAAGTGGGAAATTTCCCATATTTCTTAGTCTAAAATGTTTTATATAATAAATTTCATTTTTAACAATTGCACTATAATTTTTAAAATTTAAATTTAATTTTGAAATTTAAATCTTTTGAACCAATTGACCAAACCAAAAAATTGACCCAAACTGATACAACTTGAGTGGGTCGGTTTCACAAATGGTCAGTCGGTTTCAACTGACCAAGTCAATCTGGTTGGCAAAACAACCTACAACTGAACTGAACCAACTCATGAGCACTAATTTTAGATAAATTAATAGTCTCATCTTTAATAAATAACAATATTTTAATCTCCAATAATTGTTGAAAATTTATAGTGAAAATACACAATTATTGAAAAATATATTGATAATGAAAAAGATACAATAATTGCAAAAATACATAGGTACTAAAAATATATTAAATTAGTCAACAAATAGTATAATCTATAGCAAATATTAATGAATAAGTCATATAAAAATACAATAAATACAATAAGTAAAATAAACAAAATTTAAAAATTTCAATAATAGTATTTTAATGTCCAATAATTATTGAAAGTTTTTTGATAAATAACATAACAAAAATAAATTTATACATAATTATATTGAAAATGCATTTATCACAAAAAACTATAAATAATTACTAGAATACAATAAATATTAATATTAGAATATATAATTATATAATAAATATATATTAAGAGTTTAAAATTATTATTAATAAATATTAATTTTTATGAAAGTTATTTTTTCGAATTATTAATTGATATAAGTGAAATTAGTTACTTACAATATTATGTAAAATTATTATTAAAGTAATTTAATTATTAATTTTGTAAAATATTAAGATATTATTATTTTCAATATTATGTTATAATTATTTTTCTACTTTTCATATTTTTTTAAATTTATTTCATAACTTCTTTATTTTAACAAATTTTAAATCTAGTTATGTTAAATATTTTGTTATTTAAAATATTTAGTTACTTAACAACTAAAATAATTTGTAAAAATTTAATTTTAAAATATTAATTTTTATTGGATTTAATATTCCATAAAATTATAATTTATACTATTATTACATAATTTTATTATTAATTTTGTAAGATATTGAATTATTATTAATTTCAATATTATGCTTTAATTATTTTTCTACTTTTAAGAAGTTTTTTATATTTATTACTTAATTTTGTTATTTTAACTATTTAAAATCTAGTTATGTTAAATATTTAAATAATATGTAAAATATTTAAATTTTTTTGTTATTTACTGAATTTAATAATCCAGTAAATTGTAATTTATACTATTAATACATAATTTCATTGTTAATTTTGTAAGACATTAAATTATTATTAATTTCAATATTATGTTATTATTATTTTTCTACTTTTATGAAATTTTTTAAATTTATTACGTATTTTCTTTATTTTAACTATTTAAAATCTAGTTATGTTAAATATTTTTATAATATGTAAAATATTTAATTTTTTTGTTATTTGAATTTTATTTATTTAATGCTATTACATATTACTAAATATTTTGTTATATAGTTAATTATATATTTATAATATTTGTTATTTCTGATATTTATTTATTGAAATAATAAAATTTAAATTGATAATCCGGAAAAACAGAATTTAAATTGTTAGTACATAATTTTGTGATATATTTTGTAAAAATATAAAATTATTTTTTTGTGTTTTTAATAAATATTTTAATTTTATTATTCTTAAATTTTTTAATCCTAACTTTCTTTAGATAGATATAGATAAAAAGTTGGGGAGAGGATAAATAGGAATTAGAGATAATTTAAAAGATAAATAGGAATTAGAGATAATTTTGGAGAAAGTGGGGGAGGTAGTTTAGGAGAAATTTTTAGAGAAGAGATTATTTAGGTTACTGGGAAAGCACATCTCAATGGTTGTTTAAAAAATGACATGGAATAAAAATATAAAAAATTAAAAAGAAGGAGAAAATTTATTGACCGAGGATAAATAGGAATTAGAGATAATTTTGGAGATAAATAGAATTAGAGATAATTTTGAAGATAAGTAGGAATTATAGATAATTTTAGAGAAAGTGAGGGATAGTGGGGGAAATAGTTTAGGAGAAGATATTATTTAAGTTATTGAGAAAGTACATCTCATTAGTTGTTTCAAAAATGACATAAAATTGAAAAAATAAAAAATTCAAAAAAAGGAGAAAACTAATTCCATCTTGACTTGAACAAACAAATTAGTTCCATCCCAACTTGCACCTAGGGTGATCATTTCATCCTAGCCCAGAAATTTCGGGCTTGGGCCTAGGTTTTGTGTTCAGGGCCGGCCTGGGCCTAAGCCCACATCAGGCCCGTAAATTTTAGGGCCAGGTTTGGGCTTAATATTTCTAGCCCGACCCGACTCGCATATATTTAAATTTACACATTTTGGTATATAATATATACATATATATGTTATTTTACATTATATTATATATTTTATATATAAATATTATAACATATAATTTATATTATATATAATATTTTATATTATATAATATATAAAATAAGTTTATATACATGTTATGTTATTTAATATATAAATATATAATGTTTTTATATATAAGTGATATTAGCACAGAATCAGACCCGACCCGACCCGACCTGGGCTCGTATATACTTAAGCTAGGACTTATGTTTCAAGCCCGGAGTTCGGCGCCTAAACTATCACTCTTATCATAACTGCAAAGCCCAGCGCGGCGCGGCCCGGCCCATAATCACCCGTTGCAGCCCTTCGCCCGAAGATATTTTTTTTTTAAATTTCAACTACCTATGTATAAAAATATTCCTTTTCCTTTTTTCTTCCTGGCTTATCCGACACGTGAGTGTGGACCCATGCGGAATCAAAGGCGAAGACGTGCGTCATGCAATATCTGTCTTTTCCCTTTTTCTGACTCTCAAGAAAGCTGTTTGGTTATGAATGTAAACATACCCCTACACCACTTAGCGCTGGATTTTGAATTACTACGAGTCTACCGTACATGCTAGAATCTAGACAGTGTAGACACGTAAGCAAACCGGATGGATTACTAATATTGGCCAGAGTTAGAGCAGTGTCCAAACACCCTCCCTAGCAGAGCGGTTCCAATGCAGGAAAAGAAAGTGCGTCCCTGAGGAATGAACGTCCAACCTTTGGATTGGAATCCAAATAATTTATCCGACAATTTTGCAAACGCAATGCACGGCTGTAAAGTAGACCGCACGTAAACACGTGCTTTTGGTGCGGCATACTGGTAAACCCTAACTAACCCTGGTTAGACTGAAAGATCGAGGAGAGACTTAACTATAAAGATAGGGTGCGGGGGATTGAGGGTTTTATCGTTCTCTGGAGGTGGGTTATCTATCCCCCTCTTTCTTTGCTGTTTCCCCCTTTCTCTGTTCATTTTCGCAGGGTTTCCGTAATGGCTTCTGCTGATGTTGAGTATCGATGCTTCGTCGGTGGGCTCGCATGGGCCACCGACGACCAATCCCTCGAGAGGGCTTTCAGTCCTTACGGCGAGATCCTGGAATCAAAGGTCCGTTTTAACGAGGCGTCAGAACTTTGCCCGATGCAGAGATCGGATCTATCCCGATGAATCGATTCGGCTTTGTTGATCTGTTTTGTGTTCTCTGATATCTGTGACTTTGTTCATCTGTATTCTGTTCCTGTTATCTCTGTTACTCTAATTGATCACCGGAAACGGTATGTGTCTCCGTCTTTTCAGAGGCGTAGATCGATCGATTTGGGTTCAGATCTTATGTTTCTCTTTTGTTGGTTTCATGTTTTTGTGTTTTGATTGCTTTGATCTTGTTCTGACGCGTCTTTTGTTTGTTTATGTACAGATCATCAATGACCGCGAGACTGGTAGATCGAGAGGGTTTGGTTTCGTCACCTTCCGTGATGAGCAGTCCATGAGGGACGCTATCGAAGGGATGAATGGGCAGAACCTCGACGGGAGAAACATTACGGTCAACCAGGCGCAGTCAAGGGGTAGTGGTGGCGGTGGCGGTGGCGGAGGATTCCGCAGCGGTGGAGGTGGAGGTGGAGGTGGCTATGGCGGTTATGGTCGCCGTGATGGTGGTGGTGGTGGTTACAACCGCAGTTTAGGCGGCCGTGATCGCGGGTACGGAGATCGTGGATCTCGCTACTCGAGGGGCGATGGGTCTTCTGACGGAAACTGGAGGAACTGATGTGCCGAATATGTTTACGTCTGGGTTTGGGTTGTTGTGTGTTCCTTGGGTTTCCGTAGATGTTTTTGGAGCTCTTAATGTTCTAGGTTCTTCAACGAGAGCTCCCGTTTTTGACCGCTGGTTCTTGTCCTTGTGTTACTCGTTGTTATGGTTGTTCTGATAAATCTTAGAAAAAAAGTAGAATAGAAAGTTATGGTTTCGGCGCAAATTTCCTTTTGTTTAATATCTTTTGTTAGTGGTGCATTGGTGCGATTCATATTATTTGGTTTCAAAAATATGAAACGCACAAGTGGATCTAATTTTTTCTATTAATTGGTGCGATTTTTTCTTTCCATCACAAAAAATATTATTACGTCTCGTAAGAAGGAAGTGGTATTGTTGAACTTTAATCGTATACGAGAAGAAAAGCAAGGCTTTGAGTCTGGGAGAAAGGGGTCGGTTACATGAGTGGATAAGTTGCTTAATGCGACAACACTCTGGATTGGAGCGTCGCCATGTGACCCCTCTGATCTGCCTTCTGTCGAAGGCTGCCTTCGATTCACATGGGAGGTTTTGCGCTTGGCGGTGTTCTCAAGTGGGTCTAAATTTTTTATTGTTCAATCCCCTTCAAAATTTTCTTTTTTGTTTTTTTATTTTTCTTATTGCAAAATGTTTGCACTTTCTTGAAACAATGTACTGATGTAGAGTCCTCGTTATATAGTATTATATATATATTTATGTAATATATTCAAAATATAAAAAATCAAAGAAGCGAATTGGTTTTGGTATTACCAAAGAAATCGGTTCAGTTTAACCAAACCAAGGATACCCTTACGTGTAGGCCGCATCAAGATTTTTCCTATAAAAATTTTATTATTAAATAAAGATAAATATTTTATAAATGTATATGAACGATCTTAGGGTATTCATATCCCTAGTTATTATTATAATCGATAATAATTATAAAAATTTTATAAATGCACGAGTATACTGTTGGAAGTGCGAACAGAAAGGCTGTAAACTCTGTTGGACTGACCGAAGCCGAACTCAGAATAAAGTGCGCATGTTTGTGTGAAGGAATGAGTGATCATGTAAACAGGGAGGGGGATGAGTGAGAGGTTGTGGGTAGGGGGCAATGACTGCATTCGGTCGTGTAATTTGTTAAGGGTAAATATGGTATTTTAAAAATTAAACCGAGTCAATACAAGGGAGGTCTATAAGATTGTTAGAAAATCTAGGGAGGCTTTACAATTTGCCTCGGAATGTCCCAATGACTAATAATAGCTCTCTGACTGGTGGATGAGAATTGACAATTTGAAAGGAGATTCCTTCTTAAAGAAAAAATGTGAAAGTGTTCTTTGTTTCTTTGGAAAAAATGGAAATGATTTCCTCCCTCCCAATTAAGTTGAACGGGGGTCCTAAACTTTTTCCTAGAGCTCAATGCTTCCACTGACTTGGACTATACTATGTTATCTTTGATGGGTTTGAGTTGGAAACCCAGATGCATCACATGAATCCATTAAAACTAATTAATGGCTTGCATTGCTCTTAAGTCTTAACCACGTTGGTTCGGTAAGCTTTCAATCTTGGGATCGGTCGGGTCCATCAACGTGGCTGAAGGTTGGGCTGCCTTTCCTAAAAGGCCCACAACCTTATGCTCAATTTCAAAGATAGGTTTATAAAACTTAGAGGAAAAACAGGTCCTTCATCTACATGGAGAATGAAATTTACATTGAGTGCTTGCGTTTGAAGCTGTTGTTGGATCTTAAGTTAAATGTTCACACGTGTTTTAACTTTCACGAAATTCACCTCACGGTAGACTAATTTGCTAATGGCATGGTCATGGATGTTTCTTGTCTTCTTTTGCCTCGTTCTTATTGTTTTCTAATCTTGAATTTCTGCCATGCACAGGATGTTTTCTAATCTTGAACTCGAACATGTTAATAATTCTGGTTGCTATTCCACACAAGACTCTTAGGCTCTATTTTCTTATCTATGTTCTTTTATTATCCAGATAAATAATAAAATAACTATTTTAGCTATAAAAAGGGAATGTTTTATCTCATTCAAGTGTTGACAATTTTTTCATCAAAAAGAAAAATTATCCATCTGTGAGAAAGGCATCACTTAGTAAGATAAATGATACCCATGGAAAATAATTTTTCCGTGAACTCAAATAATTTTGAAAAAAAAAAACATTAATATCTTTATCAATGAGAATCAAATCCCATTAACTATTTCTCCCTGAAAATCCCACCCCCCCTCCAAAAAAAAAAAGACCCTGAAGAGCCAAAGAGAAGTGGTATTATTTGGTCTAGCACCAACACTGCAGCTGTCTGTAAATGGAACCAAAGGACACCCACATACGGTGGGATGTGACTGTGAGATCGGTGTGAGGCACACTCAGAAGCCCCTCCCCACTCTCAATAACAGAAATATAGAAACATTGTGGGGTACTATTTTTGTCTTCCTAATTAATTTTACTGGAGCTAGTTAAAATTATTTAACTAGATTCAGTCGCCGATTACCCATTAGGGATTTATTCTCCAAAGCTCTCTCTCATGTCGCCGATCTCCATTTGAAACTAGATGCCATACTCTCTCACCACCACTCCCCCTCTCACTCAGATCTCCATTCTGAATATGACCACCGCACCACCACTCCAGTTTGAAGATTTTAATGAACAAATACTACAATCAGAAATTTTAGCAATTTCTATTGTTTTGAAATATTTGCAATTTACGTACTATAAATTTTTGCAACTTGAATCTGGAATTTATATTTTACATCCCCATTGATCATAAAACATTGCCACATAAAAGATTCTCGGTCATCTAATTTCCAGAAATAATCACACTAGTGGACATCTTGCTTTATATTTATTATGAACTCTTTTGTGATGGCTGAAACTTTGATTGAGCCTTTTTTTCCTGAAGTATATTTGGGCTTTCCAGTTTTTTCACCTAACAAAGCTTATAAGGCCATCTATATAATATCCATTTCACAAAGTAGAGGCCACTTGTAATAGCTCTCCCAAATTGGCAATATGGGAGTGTTCTTTTTTCAGATTTTGAGAGGGGGAAAGTTGGTCAATGAGATTTTGGTTCCCATTGATCAAGAATCACATGTTCTTTTTTCAGATTTATGTGGGGAAAAGAAAAAGTTTATTTTCCTGAGTACCACTTACCCGGATAAGTGGTACCCATCTCCTAGGTGGGTAAATAATTTTCCCACCTAGAGGAAAGTTGCCAACACTTGAATTCGACAAAAATGCCCCTTTTAATAATAGATTTTTATGGATAAAATGATCATTACCTTATTTACATGAAAAATAAAAGAACATGTTTCCCAGGAAAAACTTACACAGGTAACTGCATTTACCTAGATTGTTTTTTAGAAAATTGTTTCTTAAACAAAAACACAAAAACATGTTTTCATATTATTCTTCATATAATTTCTATATTACAAAATTGTTTTTGTTTTAAAAACCAGTATTATGTTGGTTTTAAAAACATGTGTTGTTTTTTTTATACAAAACCAACTTATTTTTCTCTTTGCAAACAAAAACAGAGTTCAATAAGATGTTTTTGTTTTTGTTTTTTTTTTTATGTGACGATTCCAAAAATAAATGAAAACAAAAACATTCATGTTGTAGTATGTCCCTAAATGGGCAAGGTATAATGCACATGAAGGTTCAAAACAGCCTGAACTATTTTTCTAAACAGCGAAAGCTTTCCCATTCCAAGGAAAGCTTACACCCTGTGCTCCATCACTCCAAATAGAAATTTGAAATGAAACGTATTTACAGAAGTCTGGGCTATGATTTGGAAACCATGTTTTGTTTTTCTCCATCCTTATTTATGGTACCGGTACCAGTGTTTTAAAAACCAGTCGAGAACTGGAACTGTTTTGACCACTGGTTTTTGGATAAATGGTTTGATCATCCGGTTCAAATGGATGATCCATTGTAATTTTAAAAAATTAAAAATTAATTAAAATAAAAAATGGCCAAAACATGGGTAATAATTTAATTGCCCGAGTCAAGGTTTTTAAAACTGAATCGAACAGCGAACTGGTTAGGGGTCCGGTTCTCAGGCGGTCGATCGGTCCAACCTTTCGTATTGATTGGATGGCCCGTTCTAATTAAAGAAAAATAAAAAAATTGGCCAAACCGTTGAACTGTTCGAACGGTTTAACCGCCCAGGTCAGCAATTGTCTGACCAAATAAACAGTTTTAAGGTAAAACGGAACCAATCACCTGACTAATTCCCAATTTTTCCGATCCAACAGTCCGGTCCGATCCGGTTTTAAAAACTATGGCTGAATCAATAAGATGCGGACCAAATCAACAGTTTTTCATAAGATTCCGATTAAAGGATGAAATAGAACTAGTTGACTAAACGGTTTCTAGGCCAAACGGTCCCACCGTCTTGATCAACAAGAGTTCAGAAACGACGAAGGTACTATGAGTGATCCTTGGAAGCAATGGGTCCAAAATCATAAACCTGGAACCAAAAAAGTGGCGAAAGTAAAATACTTTGAAAAGCAAGGCTCGGAGCCCACCATATTCAGTCCATTGATTTTAGTAAAGGGAAACATATTGTAGTTGGTTATTACTGGGGTGGACAAAAGCCAGTGGTCAGTGCTTCACACGACCCCACTGCCCATGGTGTAGAATTATTAACCTGCTTTTTCATAGAACTCAGCAACCTTCGTTGTGGCCTGGGGGAAGATATGCCTTAATGACTTTTCGAGGTTGCGACAAAATATCCGTGGCAATTTAGCCAGTTCATTTGCATATCTATTTGTGATACACAAGAATATTTTGGCCTTTTGGGTCTGGGCTGCCGTAACTCTCCACCATGGACCCCAATCACTTGTCAACTATGTCAAGTTTTGCTAATTGAAACTGAGCCTGGATGTAAATACTCTGACAGTAAAAAGCCCATTTGGCCCATTTCCTTAACCTCCCAAGTCCCAACCTTTTGGTGGCAGCAGGATTTGATTCCAAGTCATAATCTCTGTCGGTCTGAAGGTGGAGTCATGTGGTAATCTTTGTTGCACCTCTATTAGTGCATCTAATATGGGTTTAGTACATGGATAACTTGTTTTACGGATTTATCTTCACCTAGTCCTTCCTATGCATGCAGTAATATTTATTCAAATAAAGTCATATGAAAAAAGGGTCTTTTTAACAAATTCCAGTCAAGGATACGAAATGGTTACTTTACTCCAATTTTAGAGGAAAACAAAAAATCACTTGGTGAAACAAATCAATTGAGATCTCCTGCCTATAGAATCCTACCCACAAGACATTATGGTATACATTGGGAACATCTCTCCCTAAATAGTAACTTGTAAATAGGTGAGATGTGAAACACATTGATCCCAAATACCGAGTTGGGATTTTGGGAACAAGAGTAAACACAATTCCTAGCTCAAATCTTATTTATCAATACCGCTCTTTCATCAACTCTTCAAATTCCAAATGCAGCGATAAAAGTTTGTTGAATTAATGAAAAATTTTATTTATCTTGTAATTGATAGAGTACCAGAGAAAGTATACGATTGACATATTTGATTGGCCGCATGAAAATCACTTATTAGTCGAATGTATTTACACCCACCCCTCCTATATACATCATCACCCCCATGAATTAAGAATTTCCCCCTGACTTGAATTGTACGATCGCATTAGGAATTCTAAGAGTTCAAATCAAGTCCCCACAAGATTGGCCCCCCCATAGCATCCCACATCACATCCTCCCTGTGTATTGAAAACATCTTCCAATGTCATAATTTCTAGGATTATCATTGAGAGATGTTTCGGTTAGAATCGATGACCTAACTGATTATTTGGTTTAACTATTTCTCTCAATCAAACAGAACTGAACTACAGTTTAGAATCAAATTGACCCTAATTGAATTTAAGTCGGTTCGGTTTTAATAATTAATGAACAATTAATTGTTACTCTTTAATCTAGGTTTTAATAATTAATGTAGGCTTTAATGAACAATTGATACAACTATACTCATTTATTGAATAATTTAATGATTAATTATTAAAACAACTACACCCATTTTCCACAAATAATTAATGAATAAATAATTAGTATTGGTATTAATATATACTTTAGTTGTTTATAGTCCATGAACAATTTAATTAACTATTATTAATTAAAAGTTAGAACAGGCCTAATACACAATGGGGAATTGAGAATTGACCATTGGAAAAGATGATAATTATTAATTAATAAGTATAAATTATTAAATAAAATATTATATATTTAATAGACTTAATTAGATACAACCACTAGTTTGGTTTTTGGTTCAGTTTGGTTGAAAATCTCAACCAAATCGAATCGAAACTAAAAACTGGTTTTTTAAATAAACAAAAACTGAAACGAATCGACATCTGAATCAACCGAACCATACTAGCTTATTTTGTTTGGTTCAATTCGATTTTCAATTTATCATCTGAATTTGAACACCCTTGGCAGGACCCAAAACTTGATGCTAATGCTATAGACGTAGTGTAAAGAAATTGGTTAAGGAAATGAATGAAAATCTAAGAGTTTCTTTTTTTGTTTGAATCTCTTTTAACTTTCCACGCCTAGAGTCAAAGAGGGGCAAAGGCAATGAGTAAAAGGAAGCAAAATGGTCCCACTAAATGGATCTACACGACACATCTGGAATGTTGTGAGTATTGTAGCATCTCAAAGTGTTAATGGTCTACACTCCTAAAATCACAATCCATAGATGCAACATATTGGAGAATAGAGCTTTAGATTTGTCAACCATACTTGCTTATCTTGAAGCGGATTTGAAATTTGGTTTGATTAAACCCCACTTGCATCGGATTTAGATTCAGCTCACTCAATTAAGAACCAAGTATCATGGTATTAAAATATGTAAAACAATAAAACTTATACTATATAAAGTGAATACTTGCTTTGGATTTTGTATCTCATACAAAATTAAATCCAAATACCATATTTCATGTATCATTAATACTTATTTGAACATATGCATAACATTATATGTGGTCGTTTAGATATATGATTTTTATATGTGAAATATTAAATGTAATTTATATTATATATCATATATCTAATGTTTTAAAAACTGACCAGAGGCCAAACTATTGTTGCTTTTGGGTCGTAGGTCACTGGTTCAATTGTTTGAGTCGAATAAGTCAGATCATCCCATATGTATTTAAGGTATATATGTATGTATAAATATATATTTATCAATAAATAGTGTATAATTATGTTTTAGATATGTTATATTTAGTTTATGTTTTTTAATTCAATTTAATTTTTTATTTATAAAAATATTAAAAATAGCAATTTGAGGCCAAAAAAGGGATTTTTCACGAAAATAGCTAGGCAAGGCGCCTATGGTTCATTGGGATGCATAGATCTCGAAAAGTTGCCCAAAAGAAAAAATATCACCCCAGTTAGACATTGGAGTGCAAAGTTATGATCTCCAAAAGTTCGCATGCATTAAGTGTGCAACCTGCGACCCGATGATCACGTTGAACGGGTCAATTGTTGAATCGGTCAGACCGGATGGTTCTTGACCAAGTCAATGGTTTTTTACTGGACTTGACCTAGAATCCTTGTTGAATGACAGCTCGAGTGGTTGAATTGACTAGGTCAACGATGGGTTGAAAACAATGCATATATCATATAATATGTATACAATATTTATTTTATATGCTATATAATATAAAATTGTATATATAGTATTTATTTTAATTTTTATATTATATATAATATAAAATGTAACATTAAATTACATATGTATATATATATTTCAAAATATGCATAAATTGATTTAGGCTTGTGTTGGGATGTGCAGCTAGATGAATTAGGGTATATCTGAATCCAATCTGACACTGGTCATGGTAGATCTAATTGGATTTGATAGACTAGGATTTGAATTTGAATCCGATCGAGAAGTTGAATCTTAGGAATCCAATCCGATTTATTTTATTTAATAATTAATAAAGTATTAAAAGAAAATTAAAATATACCAATTTAAATAAAAAAAACAAAAAAATCCAAATATTTTTTAATTATTTTCATATATATATTATAACAAAATAAATAATATAATAATTACAAAAATACAATATAAATAAATAAATAACATGTATATATGTAATATATATTTGTATAAATACATATATCACATATAGAATCTTATCGCTTTGGATAGAAGGTCATCTGAATCCAATCCACAGATGCGATCGAAATAAGATCGGATCTCAAATCGGATCGAATCCATTTGCACCCCAGATGCCACTATTTTAGCTTTGAAGGACTCCGGTCTCCCGGGTTGGGTGAGAAGTGAGAACACAAAAAACTATGCCCAATTCGGAATTTCTGGGTCGGGTTGGTGATAGTGATCCATGTTCCCAAAGATATTTTTTTATTTTGTCGACGACATATGGCTGTTATAGTCATTACGCCACGAAGATATTTTTGAATTTCAACTACCTATCTATAAATATATTCTTTTTATCTTTCTTCGTAGCTTATCCAACACGTCAGCGTGGGACCATGCGGAATCAAAGCTGAAGTCTGAAGACGTTCGTCATGCAATATCTGTCTTTTCCTTTTCTGACTCTTAAGAAAGTGTTTGGTTCTCAATGTAAACTTACTCCTACACAACTTGGCGCTAGTTTTTGAATTATTACGAGTCTACGCTTACGCTACATCCTAGAGTCTAGACACGTAGGCAATAAGGCAAACCGGACGGATTACTAATACTGGTCAGAGATAGAGCAGTGTCCAAACACCCCCCAAGCAGAGCGGTTCCAACTTTGCAAACGCAATGCACGGCTGTGAAGTAGACCGCACGTAAACACGTGCTTTGGGTGCGGCATACCGGTAAACCCTAACTAACCCTGGTTAGACCGAAAGATAGAGGGGAAACTTAACTATAAAGGTAGGGTGTGGGGGGTTCAGGGTTTACTCGTGCTCTTGGAGGCGGGTTCTCTATCCCCCTCTTTCGATCCCTGTTCCGTCATCTCTTGCTATTTTCCCTTTTCTTGGTTCAATTTCGCAGGGTTTCTGCCATGGCTTCTGCTGAATTTGAGTATCGTTGCTTTGTCGGTGGGCTTGCATGGTCCACCGACGACCAATCCCTCGAGAGGGCTTTCAGTGCTTACGGCGAGATCCAGGAATCAAAGGTCCGTTTTAGCGAGGCTTCAGAACTTTGCCCGATGCAGAGATCGGATCAGATCCCGATGAATCGATTCGGCTTTGTTGATCTGTTTTGTGCTCTCTGATATCGGTGGCTATGTTCATCTGTATTCTGTTCCTGTTATCTCTGTTACTCTAATTGATCACCGGAAACGGTATGTGTCTCCGTCTTTCCAGAGGCGTAGATCGATCGGTTTGGGTTCAGATCTTATGTTTCTCTTTTGTTGATTTCATGTTTTTGTTTTGGTTAGGCTTGATCTTGTTCTGACGTGACCCCTTGTTTGATTATGTGCAGATCATCAGCGACCGCGAGACTGGTAGATCGAGAGGGTTTGGTTTCGTCACCTTCCGTGATGAGCAGTCCATGAGGGACGCTATCGAAGGGATGAACGGGCAGAACCTCGACGGTAGGAACATAACGGTCAACCAAGCGCAGTCAAGGTCTAGCGGTGGCGGCGGTGGATTCCGCAGCGGTGGAGGTGGAGGTGGCTATGGCGGTTATGGTCGCCGTGATGGTGGTGGTTACAACCGCAGTTTAGGCGGCCGTGATCGCGGGTACGGAGAGCGTGGATCTCGCTACTCGAGGGGTGATGGGTCTTCTGACGGAAACTGGAGGAATTGATGTGCCGAATATGTTTAGGTCTGGGCTTGGGTTGTTGTGTGGTACTTTGGTTTCCGTAGATGTTTTTGGAGCTCTTAATGTTCTAGGTTCTTCAACGGGAGCTCCCGTTTTTGACCGCTGGTTCTTGTCGTTATGTTACTCGTTGTTATGGTTGTTCTGATAAATCTTAGAAAAAAAAAGTAGAATAGAAAGTTGTATCGTTTCGTTCCAAAATTTCTTTCCGCTTAAACACTTCAGTTATTAGTGCGTTTCTTGTTATTTGGTTTCAGACGTTGGAAATGGTATTGAACTTTCGTTGTATACATAAGAAAAGTATGGCTTGGAGCCTGTTAGTCACTTAGTCCGACGTGTTTGCCCGGTCTCTCCTAAGTCGGGCTTGATACGCCTGCCGGCTTTTCTTTTAGTTGAAACAGCAAGGGTGATTAGATCGAACGATACAGATCAACTTATTTTGTCTTATTTGACCAGTCGGTACAAACAACCCAGACTGTTTTACTCCGTCTAGCCAACAGGTGGGCAACGTCTGTTTACATAAAACAAAAAGTAGTCTGTACATGGACAACTTGCTCCGAAACAGAGGAGGCCGCGTTCTGTGCACCCTCGAATGAGAGGCGAACACGTCATTTCATTCGTGTTAATTACGAATTAATGGAAATTTTCTCCCCAACCGGCCATTTTTTATTCTATCATTTTTTACTCCTGTACCGAATTCAAGCATTCACCGGCGATTTACTGCAAGTAGGCGTTATTAACGCATAAGCCACAGGCAGCGGGAAAAAATTCGCCGTCCCCGCCTTGAACGGGTGACGAGAACTCTGATGGCCGCCTTGATCGCTCTCACCAGCGAGGAATTTACAACCAACTCCAAATAAACTCCGGTAGAAGAAAGGGGGGGAGAGATGGAATGGGTTGCGTTGAATTCAGATCGGCTGCTTTAATCGGCCACAATAGGAAGCCCACCGGTGTCGACCATCCTTCGTTAGCCTGAAGAAGCCCGCCCGCCGTTGTTGACCCACCTTTGTTCCTCTGAAGAAACCCGTAGGTGTAAGGCTTCGATCTGTTTGTAAAGAGAAAACAGGAAGCCCTTGTAAGAAGTAAAGGCGGCCAAAAAATGTACTGCCGGAGTTCTCACCGCCGGTGGCCGTGCCTTATTCTGATCGGCCGCTGCAATTGGCCACAACAGGAAGCCCACCGGTGGCCGGTGTTGACCACCTTAGTTCGCCTGAAGAAACCCGGTGTAAGGCTTCAATCTGTTGAAGAGAGAAAATATGAAGTCATTGTAAGAAGAAGAGAGGAGGTAAAAAAACTTTCCGCCGGAATTCTTGCCGTTGATGGTTTCTGGTTTGGGTCACCGTCCGCTACTGTATGGTTGCCGATGTGTGGGTATGGTTCGGTGGAGCGGTTTTCAGACAATCGAATATTTTTGTGTTTTTGTGGCCGGTTGAACCGGTTATCCCATGTTAATGGTGCAAAGCTCTTTAACGTTATGAATCTTGATCTTGGATGCGTGGTCGATTGTGGTTGGTGGGTTCACGCATCTAGTGAACCCACGGTGCCAGAACGCGGACTTATACAGAGCATCCAAGTCAAAGCCATAGCTTATTGGATGGGAGAGGAAGCTTACGGGCATCCAACCAGTCAAAGCCATAGCTTATTGGATGGGAGAGGAAGCTGACGGGCCCGTTTGGCAAGTGTTTTTGAGAGTATCTTATTGTAGCTTTGATAGTTAAAAGACTCGTTGAGCTTTTGAGTCTTTTCGAGATTGAAAGATGAAAGAYGGGAGTTTYATTTGGAGTTTTTCGAAATCAGTCTAAAATGGGCTTTTTGCGTCTTTTCGGCATCCCGTCTTTTGGTGGCTAGATCTTTGGTGTGTCAAATAGAAATATACTGATTTTCGGTCTTCTCGGCTTGTAAAYAGCTAAAAGACCACATGGAAAGATGTGCTAAATGCTCCTATAGTTTAACCAAAAGATGCCATTGAATTAGAAACAAAAAATGATCAAGTGAACCTTTCTATCTTTCTCTTGCACACTGAAGTCTGGTCATGTTGAAATCCACTGCTTGAAAGAAGAAACGTGGGTTCCTCTACTTAGTAGTGAGATGACAACCAGACTAAAATAACACAACATTAGAAACTCAGGGCCTGCTCGTTTGCTTTGAAGTCTGACATCTGAAAGTGCAATAATTACATTAAAGATGTATATTGGTATTGGTGAACTTTTCTTTCCTCTAAATTCCGAATGCAGAGAATGTTATTCTGAATTTTGAAAATTATCAAATATTCATTTTGATCTCATATATGAGAGTTTTTGTTTATCTTTTTAGGGGTATCATTTGAAAACAAAAAAATTGTATGATTGCACTTTAAGAGATAAGAGATAAGAGGAAACAGACAACCATTTTTCTCGTAAAGTTGTATAATTGCATAACCCTCAATCACCCGATGACAAATATCATCTGTGGCAAACTTTCTTTTATATAGGTTTTCTTTCGTTGCAATATCATTTAAACAATATTTCCATACAAAATATTTAACTTTTGAGTCTACTTTTGCTTTCAAAATCTCAAAACCATTGAGATTTTTCAAACCCATGGTTGCATCATTATTAATGTTATTTCCCACTTAGATGTGACACCTACTTTCTTGAATAGAAGAGGCAAAGATTTGAGATTGTTCATTTTTTTTCAACGTTTGAATGGTTGATAAAGAGAATTAGATGACACTCAAAAGGGTATTTGTATTTTTTCAAATGCCACTCAATAGTTGGTTAATAGATTGATTAACAACAGATACTAAATTAACACATTTTGAAAGTTTGGATGCTAAATTGTCGCATTTTAAAATTTGAGGACCAAAGTGGCACCAAGTTGTCCAAGGTATTTGTCGAAAATTGTCTCAAAATATAAAAGCAACAATTGTGGGGACATTATCTTTTGGGGTTTTTACCGTTCAATCCACCTTTGAAATACTAGCTCCACCGTAAAGTTAAGGGTAGGTGCCAGCTCGGAATTGATGCCAATTCACGGGTAGGTATGAGTGTTATAGATGAAATTATTTATAAATTTGAATTGTTGTAGGAATGCAGTTCAAATCAGAGTTCTGAAGTGGAGTACAGTGCAAAAATCCCAATAATTAGTCTTTCTAAATGATTTTATTGGAACTTGTTAAAATTATTTAGTTTATTGGTTCTAGACACACACACCCATGTTGGTGGGAAATAAATCGATATCTTCAGGCCCCGTTTGTTTTTTGGTAAGTTATTTACCTGGGTAAATTCAGTTACCTAAGTAAGTTTTTCTTGAGAAACACTTACTCGGGTAAGTGCATTTACTCATGTTCATTTATTTTTCATGTAAATAAGGCAATGACCATTTTAGCTATGAAAATCTATTATTATAAAAAGGCATTTTTATCCCATTAAAGTGTTAACCACTTTCTCCCAAGGTGGAAAAATTATTTACTCACCTAGGAGATATGTATCACTTACCCAAATAAGTGATACTTAGGAAAATAAACTTTCTTTGATCCTTACATAAATCTGAAAAAAGAATATGGGATTCTTGATCAATGAGAATCAAAATCCCATTAACCAACTTTTCCCCCTCTTAGAATCCGAAAAAAGAACACCCCCTCAATGACAATGATCGAATGATTCATTGTATGTGTCAACAATGCTCGTCGAATTATCTGAAACATTCGATAACTCAGATCGTAGACGTCGTAAAACAAGAAATCTGTCATGGCAGATATTAGACATGCTTCAATAATCGTAATTTAACTCATTTTTATGAAAATAGTTCTAATAGTAATTCAATCATTTTACGATGTAGCAGACCCATTATGAATTAAAGAAGTATTGATACAAATAAAATTCCGAGGAAGAACTAGATTCAGTGTGGAGTGACGCGCGCATGAAGCAGTCTGGATTAGGTAGGCCACTATGTTGAGCACATTAACTAATAACTACGTGTCAATATGGGTCTAATGATCAATAAGGTCAGGGTCAGGGTTATCCATCGGGGATTTATTCTTCAAAATTCAAAATTCTCTCTCATGACCCTGATTACCCCTGTCTATCGAGTTCAGATCTGTGCCTCACAAGGGGTGCCCCATTTTGTATTGAGAACATCTCTCGATGACAAGTACAGAGATAATGTTAAAATGTTCCCAATACAAGGTTGGGATGTGCTGCAGGACATTGTGGGGCACAGATGTAAATTTCTCTCTACGCCCCTATTGCTCAAATCTCCATTTGAAGCTCTCTCTCTCTCAAATTAGTCCGTTGCATCAATGCTCTTCTTCTTTCACTCAGACCTCTAATTTGAGTCCGTCACACTATCACATTCTCTTATTCAGATCCATAGTTTGAACTTTGAAGTTCCCCGCTGCACCACCACTCCCCCTTTCACTCAGATATCCAATTTGAATATGACAACCGCACCACCACTCTTGTTTGAAAATTTTAATGAACGAAGGCTATGATTAGAAATTTCAGCAATTTTTAGTGTTTTTAAATATTTGCAATGTATTGTAAATTTTTGCAATTTGAATTTAAAATGTAAATTTTATATCCCCATCAAGGGCTCTACAATATACACAAAAATAATATTATTTCTTTTTATCTGAATATGTTAGATTTTTTTTTTTGAAAATTTGCTGCAATCTTCGTTGGATGCATAGTTTGATTGTTGTTTGAATTTTATTTTGAAAATTTGCTGCTATCTTCGTTGGATGCAATGTATGATTATTGTTTGATTTTGTTTTTGAATAATTGTCATTTTATTAGTTTGTCTCCAATTTTTATATTTATAGAATATATTATTTTTGAAAATTTTATAATTTATTTTTCAGAAATTTCTGATTTTTAGTCGTTTCAAATTTTTATCATTTTACGTATTTTTTTGCAGTTTATGATTTTGTCAGACATATTTTTTTTTTGAAAATTTTATCATTTTCATGTTTTCCTGCATTTTTACTTTTTTCTATAATGTATATTTTTTCAGAATTTTTTTATATTTTATGTATTTTTGCAATGTTTTGTATTTTATCCAATTTTTATATTTTTATGAGTCTTTTGTATTTTTGGATTTTCTTGTATATTTTTTCAATTTTAGTGTTTTGCTTATTTTCTATAATTTCTAGTACTTTTTATAATTTTTTGTTTTTTTGCAATTTTTATTTTCTATAATCTATACATTTTTTATATTTTTGTTATATATTTGCACTTTCTGCATTTTTCTATAATTCCAGTATTTTTATAATTTTTGTTGTTTTGTGCATTTTGTTATACACACACACACACCATGTCAGCAGCCCTCTCTTCTACAATCATTTCCTTGTTTTTTCTACAATTCTTATCAATGTATTTTTTTTGCAAATCTATGTCAAATTTTGTGTTATTATTATTTTTTTTTTGCCTTTTCTGTATTTTATATTTTCTACAATTTTTGTGCTTTTTATATTTGCATTGGGTTAGTGGGTCGTATGGGTGGATTAGGGCGGGTTAGGGTGACATGGGTGGCAAATGGGTTAGTGGGTCAATATGGGTGGGTTGGTACTAGGGGTGGATTCGAGCCGAGCCGAGCTTAATAGTACAAGGCTCGACCTAGGCTCGAGATTGTTCTAACAAGGCTTGAGCTTGGTTCGAGCTATAACCTTGAGCTCGAGCTCGGCTCGAGTAAAAAATTAATAAGCTTGAGCTCGGCTTCGCTTGAGCTCGATTTTGAGAAAAAATATTTTATAAAAATAAAAAATTATATATAAAAATATTTTTATTTGATATTTAAAAATTTAAGAATTATAATAATTTATTTTATTATATATATATTCGAGTCAACTCGCGAGCCTTACGAGCCGAACTCTAGTAGGCTCGAACTCGTCTTGTTTCATAATCGAGCCAGTGAATTGGGCTCGAGCTCGAACTCAATTGAAACCAAGCCGAATCGAACTTTTCATGAACTGAACTCAAAGAGCTCGTGAAAAGCTCGACTTGTTGCCACCCCTAGTTGTTACTCAACCGACTCCCAACCCACCCATTTGTGATCCCTGTAACTAGATCTGGACACGTGCAGTTGGTATTAAATGAGGTTGCCACTCTGAGGTTTTCTTCCATTATCATTTACCTGTCACTTGGCATTAGAAGTTCAATCCATAAAATTCCAATACTGGAGTACTGCACTAGAAGTGAAAACTCAAAACTGTTTGTCTCATTCTCTACACGGAACATTACAATTGGACGAAAACTGTTAACTGGCGGAACAGTTCCAACATGGATTGCACATGCATCTTCTTCAAGATTCGAATAGGATTAAAATGTTTTCCCTATATTTACTCATAGATGAGATTGAGTAGTCTTTTTAATCTATTTGTTCATAGAGATGGATAAGATTTCATTTGTTTCTTTTAGCAAATTGCACCCCAATGATTGTTGGAAGGAAATTATCAAGTTCATAAAATGTGGCAAAGGAACAAGGAAAGAAATCTTTGAGTGATAATCAAGGTAACCAAAAATATAAGCAAGCTCCATAACAATGCAATGCAAGTAGTCGTGTATCGATCAATCATAGTTCTATTTTTGTTCAGAATAGTGATATTATTGATGATGCACGATCTGGTGCTCCCTCTTGGTAGATAGTTCAGGTGTTGGACTAAGTAGATCGCCAAGCCAAGCTGCAAGAAAGTGATTATCAGAATGTCCGGATAACATGATTCGGGATGGGCACTACGATGCTTAAGTTAGTGAATTGGTGATTGTTTGCAAGAAAGCAAGAGAGTTAGAAATTGTGAGAGTTGAATTGTGTGTACCATGTGAGGTTAGAGATGAGGCCTTTATATAAGCGAGCTTCCGTGAGCCTCACAAAATACATCTAGGATCTCCGGCCCATCTGGTTCAGAGGTGGTTTCACGCATGGAGGCAGAGTCCACGTAAGCAGGTAACGTTTAAACAATCCCACCCAAAGCGGGCGAGGTGATAACCGACTCTTCCAATGTGGTATCATGATCCCGTGGAATTCAGAGGTGATTGCCCGCTTAAGGGGGAGGTCGCCTCTTACGCCAACATGTGGTCTTGCTAGGTTCGTTGTTTGGCCTACTGGAGTGGTGCCGAGGTCGTCGAGGTGGTTGTGAGCTATCCGAAGTGCTCCTGGGGTTTGCTTATATGGCACTGAGATGTCACTCTATTGTTCTGTAATGCCACATGTCGTGATATCATTGGTGTACCAAATTACTCCTCATAAATTGCCCCCACACCCAAGTCCAGCGTGAGATGTCCGATGAGGGAGTAGTATTAACATGAGGTGATTTGGTCCAAGTTCAGTCCTCAATCGTGATTCGACCAATGCCTTGGGATCGTGTTGGTTCAATTTGTCCAGCCTAGGCACGAAGTAGCATTTTGGGGACGTGCAGATGATACACAATCATTAGGTCGTGCGGACGTCAAAAACTCACTTAACTAATTTCGTCTCAAAATAGAAACCGCCATGTCCTTGCAAACTGTTGTATCCAACTGATCTCAATCGCCCATAGTTTGGTTTAACTATCTATAAATAGGACCCTCAGGGTCTTATTTCACTCGTCCCTAACCTTGGAGTTTTGGTGCATAGTGAGGTCGCAGAGTTCGGTGTTGTCGAAGTCATTGGTGTAATCGATGAGGTCGATCTATTCATTTTAGGTGAGTTGTCTCCCCTTGATCCGTTCTATGTATTTATCATGTCTGGTGTCGAGTCCGAGGAAGAAAGGTGTTCGTCTTTCCGGGCTGAGGAGGGGTCCTCGGCTCAAGAACGACGAGCTTCCCATAAGAAAGCCTCATCCTCCCATTGTTAACCCAAAAATAAAACTGAGTTTACGAGCTCATAGACTGGTATAGGATATCATACCAGCTCATATGTTTCCTTCCCCTTGGGCAGTTCCTGTGAGAGCATAATGATGACAAGGTCGCTATCTTCGAGGAGGCCATGAAAGCGGGTCTTTGGTTCACCTTCACCCCCTTATTCTAGAGGTGCTGAACTACTACATTGTTAGCCTAGATCAGCTTCACCCTAATTCTATTAGGACTCTAGTCAACACCATCTCTTTCAGTCACTACGTCAGCTTCCCCCTATATCTCAAGATCTTCGCCGACATATGCCACATAAAGCGAAATCCCTCCAGTACTCCCAGGATGTATAGCTACTACTTGTCTTATCGGTCTAGGTGTAAATTGCTACATGACTTCCCTTCCAAGGTATCGAACTGGAAGAGGAGGTACTTGTTTCTTGACTGAAGTGGTGGATGGCTGTTCTCAATATCCTGGAGAGTGGGGATTAGGGACTTCGGGTAGGATACGTTGAGTGAACGGATGAAGATTAGGGTGCATCTCTTAGTGGATAGGAGGTTGGAGTTGAGTGAATTCTTGGCCAGTGAGAAACTGATCCAAGCCGGGCTAAGTCTTCCAGGTAGGTTGTCATTTCAAGTTTGGGTATATTTCTTTTTCTCTTTGGTCTTGACTTATTTTTGGACTTCTCGTGAAAGAAACATGTCAGGCATGCCAACTTCCGCGCTATTCTAGGCTATGAGGAGGAAGAAGAGAATTGTGACTCCCCAAGAAGCTCCTTAGGTCATAACTTCTGTGCCCGCTAGATAGAGTGTAGTCAAAGCCATGTCGGTGGTTGACCTCATCGAGGTGGAATGGCCAGAGGGGACTTTGCTCAAACCCAAGGTCGCAAGGACTTCCAAGGAGCCCCTTTGACAACTTAGGGCTGTGGCGACCACTTCTTCGGACGTCGGGGCCACTTCTAAGGAGAATCACACCATCATGGGCTTTCAGACTGCCCTTGTAAAGAGCAAGGAAACCGTCTTTTCAGAGGAGGTCGTAGAGCTCCATGAGTCCCGTTTCGGTGAACTAGGCAGGAATCTTATGCGTTGCCTCTTGGTGGTATGTACCCGACCTCTTCCTTAATACTTAGCCAAATTTTAGCTTGCTATTGATACAACGTTTCTTTTTCCTCAGGCAAACACCATGGCCCACAAACTATTGGGGCAAGTTGAGAGGGGAGTTGCAAGAAGCCAAGTTCTTAAGGAGGAGGTGACGAAGTACTCATCTCGCCTAGAACGAGCTAGCCATCTTGTCCATGACTTGAAGGCCGAGATTGTCGAGGAGCGAAGTCACACTGCCGACTTGGTAAGAACCATTAAGAAATTGATCAGCGAGCTAGAAGCCAAAGGCCACAAGTTACGAGAGAAGGAGGTCGAGCTTGTTGAGCTTCAAGGGAAACTCCTCAACGACGTCCTTGCTATCAAGGTCCGAGCTTTCAAGGAGTTCAAGACTTTGCTTGACTTTTTGAAGGAGAGAGAGGAGTTCGAGACAGGTGCCTCCCATCAATGGCTTCCAATAGACGATGCCAATTGTTGATGCACGATTTGGTGGTCCTTAATGGCAGACAGCTCAAATGCCGGATTGAGTAGGTCACCTGACCGAGCTGTAAGAAAGTGAATATCAGAGTGTTCAGGTAGCTTGGCCTAGGGTGGGCACTCTAATGCTTAAGTTAGCAAAGTGGTGATTGTTTGCAAGAAAGCAAGAGAGCAAGGTTATTGCGAGAGTTGAATTGCGTGTACCATGCGAACCTTACAAAACGCATTCAGGATCTTTGGCCCATCTATTTCGGAGGTGGTTTCACACCTGGAGGCGGGCTCCGCATAAGTGGGTAACGTTTATCAAATCCTATCTGAATCGGGCGGGGTGATAACCGGCTCTTCCAACATGGCATCATGATCCCAGGGTATTCGGAGGCAATAGCCTGCTTAAGGGGGAGGTCGCTCGGCACGTCGGGTAGGTTGTAAACCGGAGTCAAGTTAGATTAGTGGAAGTGGGTCACCCGTTACATCGACCTGAGGTCTTGCTTGGATGTAAGTCGTTCAACATTCCGGAGTGGTGCCATGGTCATCGAGGCGGTTGTGAAGCATTTGAAGTGCTCCTGGGGTCTACTTACGTTATGCCAAAATGTCACTTTAATGCCGTGTATCATGATATCATCGGAGGACCAAATTACTACTCATCAATTAAAATCATATCAAATCAATTTTTGGTCAAAATATTCAACATTTACAATTAAGGCTCTTATTTGTAAAATGATTTGCAAACCAACATTTGCTTTTTGCTGAACATTTTCAAAAAAATGAGTATTGATGAAGGGAGATTTGGCCCGACCCCTTGGCCATGCGACACGTGGAAGCAACCGAGCGTGACCTGGCAGAAGCGCCAGCTCGGCACGGCAGCGGGCCCACAACCCAAACTCCGAGAAAAGGAGTCCCGAGCTCCCCGAAAAAAGGAACCCACAACCCGAGCTCCCCAAGGAAGAACCCGAGCTCTCCCTTGGAGGTCCTGAGCCTTACAAGGTGCGCAAAGGGAAAAAACCCGAGCTAACCCACCCCGAGGCAGTTCGGGCCACACTTCTATCCGAACTCAAGACTTCACCTCGCACACCACTTCGACTCCAAGTCGCCTGATTGAACAACCGTACCTGATGCCCAGGGAGCCCGTACACGGAGGCGGCGCGCCTGACTGGTTAGGGGTCCGACAAATGACAGCCGCCCTCAACGACCACCTGCCACCGCCATCTCAAACGTGGCAGAGACGACCCTGACGAGGAAGACAGTGGCGGTTATGACACCCGAACTGGCAACTGGCAGAGGTTATGACACCCGAACTGGCGTCTGGCAGAGATGATGACACCCGATCTGGCGGAGGTGATGATGCTCGATCTGGCAGAGGTATGGGAGTGAGTGTACCAAGGTGGTTATAAAAGGCCCCCTTCCCCCAAAGAAGGAGGTATGGGATTCTTGTGCTTTCTGGTCTTGAAGTTCCTCATTCCCCTTGCCCTCTTAAGAGCACTAACTTGAGCTTCGGAGTGTTCCAACTGGGTTCCTCCCCGGAAGTCTCCAATTTCTTCCTTGTTTTAGGTACCTTCAATTCCATCAGAGGCGAGATAACTGACAGCTAGGACCGACCGGATTGCGCATCATCATTTGACGTTGTCTGTGGGAAGACTTCAAAAAGCCTCCCCTAACCTTTAACTCTCTCTCTCTCTCTCAAAGAAACCTTAGCTCCCATGGCTTCCTC